TATAGAAATAACAACAGCAACATAAAACAGATAACAAAAACAATAACAATAATAATTTGATGCATCTATTATCGTCATTTAATTCACCTCATTCATATTAAATAATATTAATACTTATTGTTCAATTTAAATCATGCACATATATGTATATGATTATTATCTTGTTTTTTTGTTATTATAAACTATTTTGTTTGTTTTTCACTTTAAATAACATTTGCACACATCCATCAAAAAAAAAAAACAAAAAAAAAAATGATATATTGGGAATAATAGATATTAGTTATATTATATATATACATTAAAATTTTTATTTTTTTTTTAAAATATTTTATTTTATTTTAAATTTCCATTTATTTCTTTTATTCGAAATATTAAAGTTTATAATATTTAAATTAACTTTACAAAATATATTGGAATTAAAATCTTTTAAAATATATAGTCTAGTTAGTAGATAATAATAAAAATAATAACAACTTGTTATCAATTATTTTAACTTTCACTTACTCACTCACTCAATTTATATAACTACTAATACTATTACTGCTACTATTACCACCCTATTAATTAATATCAGTATTGTATAAAAAACAATAAAGGGGGTAAATAATAATAAATAATAATAATAATAATAATAATAATAATAATAATATTATAATAATAATATTATATTAATTTTTATATACATACAAACACAAATATATATACATATATATAAATATTTTTTTCTGTGTGTGATATTGAATTAATATGGATACAACTTTATTTCCTTTTTTCCCTCACTCATAAATAACCATCACAATGCTGCACTTAAATGTGTTAATAATACACACAAACATAAAAAAAAAAAAAAAATGTGTGTTTTTTTATATGTCAGTGTGTATATTTATCTCTCATATAATTAAATAAATAAACCCACACTCACACATTTTCAAAAAAGATAGTTTATATCTAGCTTAATTTATTGTTGTTTTTTATATCTAATATTGTTTTTGTTTATTTCTTTTTTTTTTTGTTTTTGTTTTTTTAAATTTTAATTTGATAATATTATTTTCTTTTTTAAAATTATAATTTTATTTTATATTATTTTATTTTTATTATTTTTTTTTTTTTTTTTTTATTACTAAATTTAAAAAAAATATATTTATCACGGGTGTATTTTTTTCCCCCCCTAACTAGAAAAACAAAAAAAGATTTAAAAGATATTTTGGCCGGTGTTAAGTAAAAAAGACCCAATTTTTTAAGGAGAGAAAAAAAAGATTTTTGGGTTTGGGTTAAACCATTAATTAATTAAATACATAGTTTTTTTTTTTATATTATATTCAATCAATTTTTATTTTATTTTTTTTTTTTTTAGGTTGCGTTATATATAACTATATATTAACCCAATAACATTTTAAAAAAAAGAATAAATAATTAGCAAAAAATTATTAAATAATAATAATATAAAAGATATATTAATATTATATGTACATTAATAGCAGAAATAATAATACTACATAATAGTGTATTGTATTTTAAAAAGTAATAATTATTTATTTATTTATTTATTTATTTATTTAATAATTTAATTTCAACAAAGAACCAAAATTTTAATAATTAATAATCACACACAATCTCACATACACACAATTTTTTTTTAAAAAAAAAACAAATTAAAAAACACACCACCTCATACAAATATAATTAAATGGATGTATAAAAATAGATTACTAATTGATTTCTCCTTTTTTTTTTTCTCTTTTTTATTTTTTAAAAATATTTTAATTTTTAAATTTTAACCTTATTTAGATTTTCTTTTTTTTTTTTAACATAATATTATAATTTTTAATAAAATTAATAATTAATTAAAAAATAAACAATAACTAATAATTAAAATTAGATAGGTAAAAAAAAAAAAATTCAATAATAATAATAAAATTTTAAATCAATTATAAAATTTTTGTAAATAGTTTTTTAAATAATAAATAATAAATATAAATAATAAAATGACAAAAGATAATAATATCAAATTAAAACAATCAAATAATAGTAATAATAAAATTAAAAAATCAAATAGTGGGAACATTAAAAAATCATCAACCTCCGATAAATTAAATAAAGTTAGTAATAATAGTAATATATATAATGACGATCTTCTAATAGAGTTCTATAAAGATGATATTCCATTCAGTAAACAGACATTAAACAACCTTAGTTTACTCTTAAACAATCAAACAACACGTCGTATATTCATCCAATTCTCTGAAAAAGAACATTCACACAACCATGTTCTCTTTTGGCAAGAGACAAAGGAGTTTAAAGAAAAATTTATTGAAATAAATCAAGAGCAATTATCAACACAACCAGAAACACAAAACCGTGATATAACGATGATGAATATAGATGGTAAAACATCTCATTCACCTGCCATGCCATCAGTTACACCAAATCAAACTGCAACTGGTGACTCTGATACCCAATCCAATAAAAATAATAATAACAATAATGGCGAACCATCAACCCCACGTAAAAATGGTGCTTCATTAAATGATGAAGCCTCATCATCATCATCAACCTCACCATCAACAACATCACCACAATCAACAACACCAACAAATAATAACAATAATAATAAATCACCATCACAAACTAGAAAAATTCAATCAAGAAAGAGTCAATTTCTTTCTGGTAATCGTGTGTCCCGTGAGGCCACCCCTGATGATACCGACGATGATTCTGAAAATGAAATAGCTATGATGCAAAAAACTAACCTTAAAAACTGTCTATATATTTTTGATAAATACCTCACCCCATCATCCGAGTTGGAAGTAAATTTAGATTTTAAGACATTTATAGAAATAAAGAAGAAAATTGACCAAAACCAAATCACCGCGAATATTTTTGAAAAATCACAAAAAGAAATCCAAGAAGTTATTGCCAATGATTCTTATTTCCGTTATAAATCCTCAAATACTTTCCGTTATCTTTTAACTTGTGCTGAACAATTTGAAAAAGATAATAGTTTAATACCATCAGGTGACAAACCAAAATTAAAATCAAGAAAATCAAAATTCTTTTGTATGTAGTTTATATAATAAAAAATCAAAACAAAAAAAAAAAAAGAAAAAAAAAAAGAAAAAAAAAAAAACATAATATTATCAACACCAAAAATGCTCCCGCTGTTATTCAATGCTCGTTTTTAAATACAACCCCAAATTTTTTTTTTTTTTTTTTTTCTGGGGGTAAAAGAAAAAAAAAAAAGGGAAAAAAAAAGTTCATTTTTTTTTTTTTAGGTAAAAAAAAAATAAATAAAATAAAATTAAAAAAAAAAAAAAAAAACCCGGTATTTGAGTTTTTTTTATTTTAAAAACCATTTAAATTAAAACCTGGAAAAAAAAAAAAAAAAAAAAAAACCTAAATAATTTTTTAAAAATTTTATTTTATTTTATTTTTTTATTTTTTTTTTTCGTTTTTTTAAAAACAATTATAATTAATTTTGTGTGGTCAACAAACCTTATTTTTTTTTAAATATCATATATAAATAAAGATGTCATCAAATAAAGAATTAAATTTAGAAGAACAATACGAAGAGTTATTTAAAATTGTAAAAAAGAAATGTAAAACTTTAATACCAAATATTTCAGCCAAAGGATATTTTATAAATGAATTATCAACATTAGCTAAAACTCAAAAAGAAAAAGTCCAATTAAAGCAAGCCTTAGATGAAAAGTTTCAAAGTATTGAAAGTGGAAAATACTGTTACACATGTTTTACATCAAAGAATGATATTATAATGACCAATAAATTCACAAAATACGCTTTATTTAATCAATTCGATTGCACTGACAACTCATTAACAATTCAATCAGTTAAACCAGTTTGTGACAAATGTTTTAAATTATTAGATTTTAAATATGTTTTTGAAAAAATATCACAATATCAAATCGAAAGATATAACAGCAACAATAACAACAACAACACCATAGGAGACGACGAAGACGAATGCATCACTTTAATTAGACATTTTGCCCTTTTAAATAAAATAGATATTTTACAACCAGATTGGAAAGAAAGAGTTCAAGAAATTTTTACAATTTTATTTTCATTATATAATATAATAAAGTAAGTTTTTATAGATATGTGCATATGATTTTAAAATTTTAACACTAATTTTTATTTTTATTTTTTTTCGTTTTTTTAGTAATTTACCATCAGTTTCAATTAAAGTAGGAGGCGATTCAAAGAATTTATTTAAATATAACACTTCTCTTGAAGTTTTAAAACAATTATAAATATATAAATAAATAAATATAAATATACAAAGTATCGGTTTTGCCTTTTATTTTTATTTTTTTTTAATTTTATTTTATTTAAAATTTTTTTTTATTTTTTTTTTTTTTTTTTATGTTTTTAAAATTTTTTTTTTTTTTTTTTTTGTGCGTAAAAAGAATATTTTCGTTTTTTTCTTTTTCATTTAAGATTGTTTTTTTTTTTTTTTTTATTAAATAAATAAATAGAATAAAAAAGCGATGGTAGTTCCTGCAGCAAAACCAACTAAAAAGGGTACTACAGCTACCACTGAAAAACAAACTAAAGTAACAACTACTACAAGTAAAAAAGTAACACCATCAACCACAGCCACAACCACAAAATCATCTGCAACTAAAGAAATTAAATCATCATCATCAACTAAAAAAGTTGTTGAATCAAAAAAAGCAGTTGTCGAAGAAGAATATATTCGTCCAACATCAGGTGATAAATCTTTAGAAAAGATAAATGAAAATGAATGGTTTGATATGAACTTAAAATCAGGTGGTTCATTCATCAATATTCCACCAATTTTAATTGACCAAAAGTATGTATAAATAAAATCAATATTAATATATAGTTATAAATAAATATTAATTTGTTTTTTATTTACATTTTTTTAATTTCCATTAGCAATTTATTATTATCAAATAATAATACAATTAAAATTTATAACCCAAATTCAGGTCAATTAAAATCTCAAGCTTCATTAGAAACAAACAATGAAATGATTACATATATAACATCAACAGGTGGATTATCAAATAGTATGACCATTTATTTATCAAGTTCATTGGGTAAATTTTATCAATACGATATTAATAAAAAATCAATCATCCCATTCGAAGAGAATAACAATAAAGTCGTTTCAGTTGGTAAAAGCAAGATTAATAAATTTTTAATTTGCCCAGTAAATCAAAATATTATTTACTTTATTACCGAAGATGGGGAACTTTTCAAATATAATAGATCAACTAGTGAACCAGCCAAATCATTAGCCAATAATACAATTAAACAAATTCAATTCATTTCAATTTCCAGAGACGGTAACTTTTTAGTTGTTGCCAATAAATCATTTATCCAAGTATTAAACTTAGAACAATCATCTATTGTTGTTAGCAAATTTTATAAATCAGAATATCACATTACCTCACTCTCAGTAGTTCCAGTATTCAGCGCCTCATCATCAAATAATAATATGTCAATTTCTTTCGGTACAACTTTAGGTAGATTAAACTTTGTCAGCTATAGCAAAGAACAAAATCAAATTTCTTTTTCATCATATAATCATTGGCATTCAACTCCATTAATTTCAAGTTATTTCAATTATGATGGTACTCTTTTATTTACAGGTGCATATGAAAATACTCTTGCAATTTGGACAGTTTCAACTATGAGAAGAAAGGTATTACCACGTTTAGGTGGTGCTATAGTTCACATCAATTGTGATCCATTATCACAACTTTTAGTAGTCACTCTTTCAAATAATAAAGTTCAAGTTTTAAATGTTTCAGATTACAAGTCATGCTCAATCATCACTGGTTTACAAGGTCAATCAAATAATAAGCAACAACAAAGCTCTGAAAATAAAGTAACAAGTTTCATCGAACCAATTACAAACAATTTAATCTTTAGCGGTCAAAAGAATGGTGTTATTCAATTTTATAATATTAAAAAAGACAGAGTCGAAAAAGAAGTTATCGTTTCACCACCAAGAAATACTGATATCTCTACTAAAAAATCAAAAGGTAATAATTTAAACCCAACTTTTAATCCAACTAAATTGGCATTAGAACAATCCAACGTTGGACCATTAGCATTCCACAAGGGTAAACCTTTATTTGTCTCATTCGAATCATTCAGTCAACAATCACCAGATAAATTAGAATCTAAAGTAGTACTCAAAGATCAAATATTAAAATTCTGGGAAACCTTTGATAATGTTGGCTGTAAAAATACTTTTTCAATTATGTCACCACACCAAACCAATATTTTATCAATGTCTTTCCATCCAACTGACAACATTTTATTAACTACCTCTGAAAAAGATTTCAAGCTTTGGAAGAAACAATCAATGGAGGCTTTAGATGGTGAAACCAAAGTTGAAAAATCTTACTGGACCTGTTACTATGAATCATCCTATAGAAATTTAGCTTGCAAAGCCTCTGCTTTCTCCCAAGATGGTTCCATTTATGCCGTTGCTTGTGATCATCTCGTCACACTTTGGGCAACTAAAACAAATGCACCAATTGATGTATTATCTTTTTCCTCACGTCACATTGTTTCCGAATTAACTTTTATAGATAATAACCAAATTTTGGTTAGTTATAAAGAAAATGGTGCTATTGTTTGGGATCTTTCAACCAAAAAACCAACAAGAGTCTATAATTTCGCTATTAAACCTTTCACAGTTTGCCAAGACTATTATGCTTTATCACCAGAGTCATCAAGAAATCGTATTATGATTTTTTCAAATAAAAATCATCAATTATTATTTAATACATTAGTACCAGTACCAAAGAGTCAAGTAGTCGATCAAATTTTATTCTCTAAAGATGATCAATATGATTGTATACTTTGTATCACAAGCGATAATTTAATTTATGGTTTCACAACTTACAAAGATCCAAATACTACTCAATCTGGTTTCTCAGATATTGGTTTAATTCCATCAGGTTCAGGTGTTATTAACCAATATGTCCAAACTCAAAACTATATTAAAAATAAAGATAGTAAGAGACAAAAAGTTACCTCTACTACTGCTATTACAAAAGAAGAACAAGAAGAAAAAGAAAAAGAAGAATCAATGTTTATTGGTAAAGAAATTTTCACCAAACTTCCATCAACTCAAGATATTTTTGGTGCTGCTTCACATATTATGCCAGGTGTTCAAAATATTTATCAAAAATATATGGATTCTATTTTAGTTAATAATAATAATTTAGTTAAAAAAGAACAACAACCACAACAACAACAATCAGTTAATAAAGACGAAAATATAAATAATGTAGATGAAAATATAAATAGTAGTAATAATATAGATGAAACCCAAGATAATACAAATAACAATAATGTAAAGAATACAAGTTTAAATAATAATAAATTCTCTTCAATGAAAAACTTTTTTGATAATTTAGATGAAGAGCAACAACCATCAGCTGCTCCAATGGAGACTGCTTCAAATGATAGTGCCTCAGCATCAACTACAATTAAAAATAGTAAATCAAAATCTTCATCTGCTTCATCAAAGAAAAGAAAAGATATAAATTAAGAAAAAGAAAAAAAAAAAAAAAAAAAAAAAAATAAACAAAAAAAAACAATTAAAATAATTAAAAATAATTACTGTGTGAATCACAAACTACTTTTTTTTTTTTGTATAATTTTTTTTCTATTTATATTCAAACAGTTAAAATCTGGATCTATTTTTGTAAAATAATTGTAGTTTTTTTATTTTTATTGATAAAAAATTATTTAATTATCAATAGCAACTTTAATCCCAAAAAGTAAGAGGGGGGTTTTTTAATTAAAGATGAAAATTGTTTTTTTTTTATGTAAATACATAACATTAATTAAATAAAAAAAAGGGGTGAAATATTACAGATAAATAGTAATTTTATTAAAAATTTACCACACAATTTAAATTTATATTTTATCATTAGTGAATATTTATATCTGAATATAAGATAACTAAACGAGTATTTTTAATTTTATTTATATTTTTTTTTAATTTTTTTTTCAAATTTATAAATATATTAATTATTAATTAAAATATAACAAGAAAAAAAATTAATTTTTTTTTTTTATTATAGTTTGTATTTTTAGTTGCAGTATAAAAAAATGGATAGTTTAAAAAATGAAGATAGTTCCATTAGAGTAGAAAATTTAACTAGAGGTTATGGTGACTTTAAAGTATTGGATAATATAAATTTTAGTATAGAAGAGGGAAGTGTTTGTGCACTAATAGGTGCATCAGGATCAGGTAAAACTACAATTATTAAAGTAACGTATTTTAATATAAAAAAAAAATATTTTTTTTATTTTTTTATTTTTTTATTTTTTTTAAATATTAATCAAATTTTAATTTTTATATTTTATTATAGACACTATTGGGAAGATTGTACCCTGATGGAGGTAGAGTATTAATTTTTGGAAAAGAACCGTATAGCTCTCCAGACTTTGACTACCCAGGTTCTTTAGTTGGGTATGCTCCTCAAGAGTGTGCACTTTATTTAGAGCTTACCATAGGAGAAACATTGGATTTTTTTGGAAATATTCATTGTATGGATAAAGAGTTGTATAAAAAAAAAAGAGATTCAATTATTACATTACTAGGGTTACCAGATAAAAATCGAATTGTAAACACTTTAAGTGGTGGCCAAAAAAGAAGGGTTTCATTAGCAGGTTTGTATCAAAATATTAATATTAATATTACTAAAATTTATAATTATTTTTTCTAATCATTATTTTTTAGTTGCTTTTTTACATGACCCCAAAATCTTATATTTAGATGAACCAACAGTTGGTATTGATCCTTTAATTTCAAAGAGGATTTGGGAGCATTTAAACCATTTATCTAAAAATCAAAATGTAACAATATTAATAACCACACATTATATTGAGGAAGCAAGACAGGCAGATAGTATTTTATTGTTAAGGGATGGCGCCATTATTGAGAAGGGTAGCCCAGGTGAATTACTTACAAAATATAAGTGTACATTTTTAGAGGAGGTTTACTTTAAAGTATGTGGAGCAATTTCACCAATAGATCAAATAGAGGTTCAAACTTTAGATGGAGGTGTTATTGAAAAAAATAAGGTCGTAGTTGGAGACAACAACAATTCATTATTGATGAATAGTGGCCTACAAGAAATTACAATGAGCAGGAATAATAATACAGCAACCGAATCAAAAAACCAGAAAAAAGTTACGAGGTTAGATATAATTAAAAAGAAATTTTCTCATTCATATGCTGTTTTTAAAAGAGCTTTACTATCTGTTCGTAGGGTAAAGTTATTGTTGGTACTTTTAATAGTTGTAAGTTTAAAATATTATATATTTAAAACATAAAAATTTCGATTTATTAACTTTTTAAAGTCACCCACTCTTCTATGTATTTTATTTTTTATCACAATAGGAAGTGTACCTCATAGTGTACCCTTTGGTTTTATTAATCACGATAGTGGGACCTTTGGCAAGATGCTCATCGAAGAGCTTAGTAGGGGACCAACATTTAATATGCACAATTTGACACAGATAGATACTGCTATTGGGGATATAAGAAATAGTAAATTATGTGGTTTTATCGAGATTCCAAAAAACTTTTCAGATGGTGTTATCAATAGATACTTCAATCCATCGGATGTATCTTTACCTAATTCAGAAGTTATTCCTTATTTAGATGAATCAAATCAACAGATCACAGTTTTAATTATGCAATCTCTGCAAAATGCTTTTATAAAATTATCAAATGATTCCGGTGTTAAAATATATCCAATTACAGAAACAGTACAAGTTTTCGATGGAAATTCTGATTTTACATGGTTTTTAGGTCCTGGTAAATAGTTTTATAATTATAATCTAAAATTAATTATATATTAATAATATCTTTTTTTAATATAATATAGCAATAATACCAGCAATTATATTTGTTCATGCAATGGTATATATGGAAATTCAATTAATTAAAGAAAGAAATAATGGGTGTATGGACAGATTATTCAGCTATGGAGTATCAGCAGGTTCAAATATTGTTGGATATATTATGTGTAATTGTGTAATATTATTTATTCAAAACTCAGTCATTTTGTTGTTAGGTCACTTTGCTTTCAATGTACCTGTTAGAGGTAATATTGTATTGGTATATTTAATACTCTATATGATAGAAACTATTGGTGTGGAGTATGGTATATTATTTAGTATATTTTGTGAAGAAGAGGTGGATGGAGTTCAAATTTCATTAGGTATTGTATTAAAATAGGGTCAAAACTATAAATAATTTTAATATATTAATTCTCATTTTTTATAATTATTTAGGGGTGTTTTTTACATTGTTTTTTGTATCTGGTACTATTTGGCCTTTGGAGGCAATACCCTCATGGTTTACATGGGCAACATATATAATGCCCACGACCTGGGCTTGGAAAGCATTAAGAGCTGTAATGATCAAAGATTTACCTTTCTCTCATATAGATATTTGGAGACCATTTGTAATTATATTTGCCGCCCTTATTCTCTGGTTTTTTGTAATTATTCATTTGGTTAAATTAAGACAAAAAAATAGTCGTTTTAAATTCAATATTAAAAATCTAATGAATAAAATAAAAAAATAGTTTATATAATGTATATTTTATTTAAAATTTATATTTTTCTTTCTATTTTCATTTTTATTTTTCTATTTTTCTATTTTTCTATTTTTTTTTTTCTCGAATGATAATTTAATTTTTTATTTTTTTAAAATTTTTTTTAAATTTCATTATTATGAGTAAAAGATATTTTTAAAGTATTTTTTAGATTATACTAAAATAACTGATAAAGATTCTCGAAATTAATTTAGAATAAATATGAATAAAAAATATATAAAAAATATATAAAAAAATAAAATGAAAATTTTAAATTTACAAAAACATTTAGACGTGTTAGAAATAGAATCAAAATATCTATTTTTTTTTTATTTTATAATATAAAAAAATTATTATTATAATTAACAAAAATTAAAAAATAAAAAAAGATATTTGATTCTGGAAACATTTTTTTTTAATTTTTTTTTAATTTTTTAATTTAATAATAAAATCAGATCTCTATAAAATCCAAATTTTTTAATTTATTTTTATTCATTCCAATTATAAATATAATATTAATATATAAATACAAATAGTAAAATATAAAATAAATTAAAATGTCAGTTCCAAAAGTTTATTATGTAAATATTAAATTTAATTAAAAAAAAAAAAGATTATATTTTTTTCATACTAATTCATTATATTTAATAGTATCCAGTTAGAGGTAGAGGTCAATTTGTTGTTGCTTTGTTACATTATCTTAAAGTCGATTTTGAAATAGATACTACTTCAAATGAGCAAATTAAACCAGAAACCACCTTTGGCCAAGTTCCATACTATGTTGATGATGAAATCAAATTAGCCCAAACCCATGCCATCGCCCGTTATCTTGCCAACAAACACAAAATCCACGGTAAAAGTTTAGTTGAACAAGCTAAAGTTGATGAAATAGTCGATTCTGTTTGGGATACTCTCAACCCATGTAAGTTAGAAAATATATAAAAAATAAAATATTTTTCTGAGTGATATTAACTTTTTATTAAAAACAATAGTATTAGCAGCTACCTTTGGAGGCAATGATAGTGCCAAAGAAGAATACAAAAAGAACAATAAGTTACACCTCTTCCTTGATGTTTATGAAAAGAAATTAAATGAAAACAAATATATTGCTGGAGGGGATGACTATACTCTTGCTGACTTTGATGCTTTTCTCGTGTACAACTACATTGATCTTTTAGGTTATCTTACAGATCGTAACAGCTATCCAAAACTTGAAGAATTAAGAAAATACTTTACTTCACTTCCACAATTACAAAAATATTTCGAAAGTGTTAAAAACACTCCATTATAATCTTTATGCACAAATAGATTAAAAATAAAAAATATATATTGAAAATAATAAAATAAAAAAAGTTGAATTTTTTTATATAATTATTTTATTTAAAATATTATTATTTTAATAAACCCAGAATCATGTGAAGAATGGGCCAATAGATATGATTAAGAAGTCCCTATTCCTTAGGATCATTCATTGGCATCTAAGAAGAAAACCCTATTTATTTATTCCTTGTATTTAAATTAAAATAAATTTTTATTTTATTATTTAGTATATATTATATATTATTATTTATACTTCTAATTCTATTGTTTTCATAAAATAATAATCAGATTTAAATATTATAATTTTCATATTTAATAGTCTTTAAAATAATACAAAGATTTCAAATGATTATTAATATAAAAAAGTTATTAAAATATTCAAAATTTATAGTTATTTTTATACCTATAAATAGTTTTATTACTTAATTTTGTATTTTAATTAATAAATTTATTTATTGTTTGTATAAATTAAAAACAAATTATATTATTAATTTACAAAAAATATTTTTTATCTGTTTTAAAACATTCTACATGTTATGGTTGTACTTCCTGTATTTTTGATGGATAGCGGAGAGCCTTTTAAATCTTTTTGGAAAAGTTCAATATTGGTAACTGTATGGCTTTCTAGTGGAAGCTTATCATTGCTAAATTCAACAATACCAACACCACCACCATTTACTACAATTTCAATATTTGTTTTAAAAAATTGATGGGTTTTCTAAAATTATGTCAATTTATTATTTAAAATTATATTTAGAAATATATAGAGAATTAAATACCTACAGTATCACTTATTGTTTCATTTGGTTCTGATTAAAAAGAAAAAAATTAGAAAATTTTCTGTAAAATATTTAAATAAAAAACAAGAATAGCATACTTATAGTCCAATTTCCAAGCTCTTTTCATTTTAATAAATAAATAAATAGATAAAAAAAAAGAAAAAAGAAAAAAATTAGAATTTTTTTTGTAAAATATAATAAAAAAAAAAGAATAACATACCTATGTACATTACTTCTGACACTTTTCATTTTAAATAAATAAATGAAAGATTAATTAATTAATTTTTTTTTTTTTTTTTTAATATATTTAATAATTACTTTTTATTATTATTTAGCTTAATTATATTAAAATATATATATGAATGAAAGAATGTTTTATTAAAAATAATTTGGTATTTATATTTTTTTTATTTTAAATAAATTTATTTTTTTAAATTCACTTTTAAATCTAAGAAACTGTCTCTTGGCTATTTAAATTTTTTTGACCATTATGATGTTAATAAAATGTCGAAGAAATGGAAAAAGTAAGAGATTAAAAAAAAATTTATATTACTTTTAAAAATTAAAAAAAACCACCCAAACACTTTTTAACCAAAATAAGGGTTTATGTATCACTTGCATCATATTTTACAATATTTTTAAAAAAAAAATTAATAAAAATTTAATTATTATAAAACAAATTTATGGGTTTTTTTTTTTAAATTACCTTTCATTTTTGTATTTAATAGACTTTCACAAATATATGTTATATAGTGTTAAAAGTATCATTAAAAACAAACCAATCATTAACTTTTTTCTAAATCTTCATTTTCCTTTAATTATTGTCATCAAAAAATAACTTTTCTTTACCCACCCTAAAATTTTTTTAACCATTTTTTTATTTATTTTTTTATCCACTTTTTTTTTATAATCATTATCACTGGGAGTTTTAGATTTTACAGATTCCTACATATTATTAATAATACATTTATTAATTACCTTTAATAATAATATTTAATTAAATTTTTTTAAAAAAATTTTTTTTTGCCAAAATCTTTTTTAAAAAAAAATTTTGATATTGCAAGAGCCAACCAAGACTGCACAAATTTGAAATGCACAATTATAGCAATAGATAACACCAAACACCACATATATATATAAATGATATAATAAAAAAATTAAATCAGGTAATATTCCCCTACTGGGATATTTATACAATTTAATTTCAATCGATTTTAATTTCTATACCATTCAATAATAAACACAAAAGTAATACTTATAAGTAGTACTACACTCAATATCTGAAAATAAAATGAAAAATTAATTGGTATTTATACTATTTTGAAAATTGGTATATTATGATTTTGATAATAGAGTGAAGTGAAGTGTAGTGTGTGAATTTTTTTTATATATTTGTGGTTAATTATGTATCCCACCACGCAGAATACATAATTAACCACCATATTGATAATAGAGTGAAGTGAAGTGTGATGTGTGTTATATTACAATAAAACTTGAATGATCAAACCCACTTGAATTTGCCTGAATGTCTATAATGAAAAAAATAAATTTTATGAAATTATTTTCTTTAAATACTTTTTAGTTTTTTTAATAAAAATGAAAAAAAAAAAAAAAATTTTAATTTAAAATTAATTAATTAATTAATCTATAACTATTTCCTAATTTATTTAAACATCAATTCCAAAAAAAGTAAAATTTGTATTGCAAAAATAAATGTAGATCTGCTACAATCAAAATTGGTAATCATTTGAAACAGGGGAGTTTTTTTTTTTTCAAAATTTTATAATTTTCAAATAAACCAAACACATCTCCTTTTAAATAAATCATTTTTCCATTTATATTATTTTATTATAATTCATTTTATAATGTTTTGTAGAAAAGGATAAAGTAAGAATTTGGTAGTTCATTATATGATAATGAAATTGGTTGGATTGCGGGAGGAAAAAATGGTTAAAAAAAAAAAAAAAAAAAAAAAAAAAAAAAATTTAATTACAATTTAATTTTTTTTTAAATTTCTTTAAAATTTTTTAAACATTTTTTTATTTTTTAATTACAATGAGCGCTTTTGTATCATTTTTACATTTATATTATTTTATTATAATTCATTTTATAAAATATAGTGAAAAACGAATAAAGTAAGAATTTCGATGTTCATAATACGATAAAAAAAAAAATTTAAAAAAAAAAAAAAAAAAAAAAAAAAAAATTTCTTTCTCAATGATTATGTCAGTGGATATAAATGACCCAACATCAAAGCCTTTTACTATTGGAAATTGATTTGAATTAATCTGGATCCTACAAACATGAAATCAGTTTCATCCACCCAATATCAGTGTTTACTTTATTGAATTGAGCTTTTAAAATTTGCTGATCTTTGTATTAGATTAATCTAATGAAAGTGTTTTTAGTTGTCCTAACTTTATTTAAAATCAACAATACCAAAATATTTGATATCTTAATATTAATTAAACAATTAAATTATAAAAAATATACTAAATAATTTATTGATAGGACACAAAAGTAAAATGTTTCATTATCATAGGATACAAAGTAAAAATTACAAAACCAAAAAGTTACAAAAAAAAATTTGGTATATTAATAAGATAGAACTTCCAGTAAACCTACCAACATCAAGCAATAATAATAATAATAATCAAAAAAGAATAATTTGTAAACAATCATAACAATTGCTCAAGGTAGTCAGCACTTAAAACAAAAAACTTTTAATTTTATTTAAATACCATAAACTATATATATTTTAAATATTTGTAACAAATAATTTATTAATTTTATTTTGTTTTACAATTTAGCTAATATTTTAATATTAACTTTATTATTTAATTTTGTATTTTAAAACTTATTATATATATCATTAAAAGTGGGTTGTTCGATATTTCTTTATGACACTACTTGTTCCTCCAGATTGAAAAAATAATATTTTATCAACATAAATTTGACTATTTTCATCTATTTATTTAATTTGTAATGGCACTTATAACTCTAATTTCGCTAACTGGTCTATCATTTGCGCCAGTTTGAAGTGCATTCATTTTTTGAACTATCTTCATACCGGTATTGACTCTACCAAAAATAGTATATTTGCCATCTAACCAAGGAGCTGGTCCAAAAGTAATAAAAAATTGACTACCATTGGTGTTAACACCAGAGTTTGCCATTGATAAAATACCTGCGCCTGTATGTTTTAATTCTTTAGTAATTTCATCTTCAAATTTTTTACCATAGATTGATTCCCCACCTCTGCCTGTTCCTGTAGGATCACCACCTTGAATCATAAAATCCTATAAAAAAAATAAATAAAAACTATTAATACCTATAATGAATACCATTTATTATAAATACTATAATTACTTTAATTAATCTATGAAAAATTGTATTATTATAATAACCTCTTTTAGCCAAATCATAGAAATTTTTACAAGCTTTTGGTGCATGATCAAAATACAATTCTAACCCTATATCACCTAGTGATGTTTGCAATACCACATCTCCTTTCCATTGTTCATCATTACCATTTGACATTTTATTTCCTTTAAATGAAATATGTAATTGATCAATGAAAAATAATAAAAAAATTAAAAATTAAAAAAAAATTAAAAAAATTAAAAAAAAAAATTAAAAAAAAAAAATTAAAAAAAAATATAAATATACACACATTACATAAAATAACAAAAAAAAATAAAAAAAGATATTTAATTTAATAAGAAAAATGTTTAATAAAAAAAAAAAACAATGCTATATTTTATTCGTTATTAAAATTTAAATTGCTGGATGTATCGTTATCCATTTCTTTCTTTTGATAAAATAAAATATAAGCATTCGATTGAGATTCTTCAATTACTTCATCTGGTTGAACAATTCTAGCTCTGCTATCATTATAATGAACCCAAATCTCTTGAAGATCATTAAAACAATAGGCAGTATAATGTCCTGAAAATAAACCTGAACCATGGTGATTTATAACATTTAATAGTTCATAGGTATATTCATTATTACTATTATTATTATTATTATTAATATTATTATTAGTACCATTAATTTCTGATGAAGGTATATCGAATTGAGGAATACTTGTAGATGGATTAGAATCAGTACTTGAACTGCTTCCAACATCACTTTGATTATTATTATTATTATTATTATTATTATTATTATTATTATTATTATTATTATTATTATTATTATTATTATTATTATTATTATTATTATTATTATTATTATTATTAATATTGTTACTATTTGACATGAATGGTTTTAAGTCTAATTCAAAAGGAAATTTAACTTTTGTGGTAATCTTTGAACAGCTTGAATTTGTCCATGAAAATCGCTTTAAAACAATACAGAGAACATTTGGTAATGAATCGATTGAAAATTGTTTCTTTGCATCCTGTTTACTTTTACAAGAATCACATTGATAAATCTTGCCCTCTAAGGTCTCTTGTTTTGTTAAAAATTTTATACAATCCTCCAAAGTGCAAAAATTTTCTTCATTAGGATTTAATGTTACATTTTCTTGGGTATTACTGCCATTATTATTATTATTATTATTATTAATATTATTAATATTATTATTATTATTAATATTATTGTTATTTCTTTCATTGTCACTTTTTATAATGGTCAACGAAGTTTCAACTGGTTCTTCTGCTATTATTGATTTAATTTCTTGACCCTTATTATTATCATTTATTTCATTTTCTTTATTAATTTCTTGATCTGTTTCATTGGTTATCTCTTGTTCTTTTTTTTTACCTTTACCTTTACTTTTAGAAGCTTTTGGTTTTGGTTTGGCTGGGTTTTTTTTTGAAACTCTTTTTGGTTTTTTGAAAATTGGGACATCTAAAGTTAATTCTAAAAATGATTCAATTCTTGATACATTATTATTACAATTTAAACAAATAATTTCACTCTTTAACTTTCCTTGAAATATCTTTGATACAATATCAATAGATTGGGCTGATGGAGTTGATGTATTTGAGGTTGAAGCAGATTCAATTTTTTGTGGTGATTGATCATTTATTGGTGAACTAGTATTTGAATTAGCATTTGTTGTAGTTATTTTTTCTTGACTATCATTATCTTGTTTTTGCACGCTAGAATTCTGTTTATCATCAACTGAATGTCTCCTCTTCTTTGTAGTTTCATTTTGTTCAAACTCTGCAGAGCTACGCTTCAATGGAGAAACATTCTTTGATTGTGGTGGTACCACTAAATCACTTAATATTTTATCAGCTTTTGAAATTGCAATAGAAGCAGCAGCCCTTCTTGTTCTACCCGATCTTAAAGTGCTGCCTAAAGTTGGTGAAGAAGCAATTGATTGTGATTGAGAATTACTGATAGATGAGGTTGTTTGTGTTGATTGCCTTGAAGCTTTTCTATTTGGGTTTAATTCGTTAGTAACAGCATCCAATAAGTAAGAGAGAAATTCTTGGGCATCTTGTTGTTGATAATTTTTAAATTTGGGAATATTTCTCCAAACTGCCTCTAAAAGACTTGATGGTGTTACAACGCTCCATTTACCAGACCAGAGTAATCTAAAAAGATAATGAAGTTGTAAAGTAAAGGAAAGATCATCAAAACCTGAAAACTTTGTTTTTTGTAATAGCTGTAAACATTCAAGTGTGCATTGTCTAACCTTGGGTTGATTATGATGTTGCTGTGGCTCATCAATTGGATAAGGATATTTAAATTGATTTTTACTGTTATTATTATTATTAACATTATTATTATTATTATTAATGTTATTATTATTACTATTACTACTATTATTATTATTTATACAATTATTATTATCATTTTCGCCATTTAATGGTGGAAAAAGTACCCTGCCAACATTTGGTGGTGATTTTGAACCTACATCTAATTGGAAAAAAAAGGATCTAAACTCTGGAATATTACTTAACGCTTGAAGAATTGTATTCATAAAACAAGTATTTCCTAAATTTCTTAAACCAGTGACCCCTGGAATCATCTTATTATTCTTTATTGGTGATGATGCAACCCTGGACATTAGATAACTAGAGGAATAATTTCTTTTTCCAATAATCTTTTCATATTCTGATACATCTACATCATTGTTCATTGACAACTTTGGTGATTGTGGCGGTGTTAAAATTGGTTGAGTGTCATTATCTATAAAACCATTTATTTCATTAATTTGAAGCACTGGAATTAATTGCTGTTGCTCTTGTTCTTGTTGACTATTATCTTTATTTAAAAATTGTTCTTTCTCCTCCTTTTCTCGTTGTTCCTGTTCTTCTTGTTCTTTTCGTTCTTGTTCTTGTTCTTGAAGTTGTTTTTGTAATTCTTCTTTTTCCTGTTGCTCTCTACTTCTATGTTTTTCGTGATGATCAATCAATAAACTAATAACTTTAAAATTGTCCTCTGGAGTTTTTTCAATAGTTTCTTGTAATGACTCTTGTGGTAAGTGTGGCTCCTCTGGAATATCTGTACTTTGTGGTAATTGACCCCTTTTTTCTATAATATCATTCAATTTGTCAACAATTTCATCAATTGTATTTTGTAGAAATGTTTTTGATTTTGATTCTGGACCATGATTTGCAATAAATTCATAAAGTTCTTTTAAACGTTCTAAATACTCTTCTGAATCTTTCCATTTGGGTTTTGTTGCTGTATCTTTCCAAATATTAAATAAATATCTTTTTAAAATTAATTCGTAATATGTTGCCTCTGTTTCTTCGATATCATCCTGTGTAATTCTAAAATAAAAAATTATTAACTATTTGTAATAGTAAAAATGATAAATTTAAAAAATAAATAAAAAACAATTACTTTTCTTCGTTATTAAATCTTGATTTTAAAAAATTGAATGATGTGTCATATGCAACACCTCTAAGAGTCTCCAATTCACCAGTGGCATTATCGTTTTCGACAAACTTTTTACAAAGGTAACTATAAAACAAAAAAAAATATTAATATGTTATTTTATTAATAATTGAATAATGATTATACTTACCAATAACAAAATTTATCCCTAATACCGAATACCAATGGATGGTGCGATGTTTTATAATGCCCTGAAATATGCTTATATTTAAAAGTAGCACAACAAATTTTACCGCATGTTAAACATAAAAATAAATTATGATTAAATTTACAGTCTTCACAACTCCATAAACTTGCATTAAATAACTTTTCGTTGATTATATTATAATTTAAGTAACCTAAATGTGGACATCTTTCTGTAGAGTCAATGTGAATATAACCATTTTCTACACCATTGATTAAATCATTTAAGTGGCCGTCGTAATGCACAAATGATGATGATGATGATGATGCTGCTGTTGGTGTTGATGGTGTTGATGATAAAGTGGTGGATGATGTTGATGGTGCATTTGGTGTAGGTATACCAATTATTGGTGGAATTGTGGATGGTGATTTAATTTTAATTGGAGTGTTTCTTCTACTATTAGCTGCTGAAATTTTCTCGACTGGATAAATTTGAGTTGGTGGTACAATTGTACGTTTTGGTCTACTATTAACTACATCAATTGATTGTAGCATTGGTGTATCTTTTTCAATTTCATTTACCTTTTCTTCTTTTTCTTTTTCAATTTCTTTATTAGACTCGTGGAGCCTCTTTTCTTCCTCCTTCTCTTCTTTTTTTCTTTTTCCTTTTCTTAACTGCTCCTCAGTTTCTAATTTTGATTGTCTAGCTGCACCTTTTGATTGAATTGGTTCAATCTCTATCTTATCCTCATTCTTTTCTTGTTTAATATTATTTTTTGAATTAATCTTATTGACTGTATTATTTATGTTACTGTTAATTTGACTCTCTTTTACTCTTAATTTAACTTCTTTCACATCCTCGATAATATGCTTAACTGTGTTAATAATTCTTCTTCCTGATCTAGTCTCTGTTGTGGTAATTGAACCGATGGGTGGTTGTGATTGTAATTTTTTTTTATTGATATCATTCTTTTCATCCTCCTCTTCATCATGGCTGCTATATTCATAACCTTCTTCTTCATAATCACTATCTTCATAATCGCTATCTTCCTCTTCAGTTGATCTTCGACTTTTTAATTTTATTTTAGATTTTGACAATATAGCTGTTTTTTTTGATTTTGTTGGTTTTGTTGGTTTTGTTGGAGTTTTGCTGACCGGTTTCCTTTTATTACTATTATCAGATTTATTTGTTGAATTTATTTTATTACCTCTTTGTCCCTTTGCCACAACATTTGAATGCTTTGATTCCTCATTAGGTAATTGCTCTTCATTTTTTTTCTGAGCTGATCTTCTAGTTTGCATTTTATATTGTTGAGAAGAGTAATTTATATATTATTTGTAAAGAGAAAAAAAAAAAAAAAAAAAAAGGATTTGTATTTATATGAAAAAAAAAAATTTTGGAAAATTATTTTTTTCAAAATAAATCGATTTATTTTGAAAAATAATATTATTTATTTGTTTATTTATCTATTTATTTATTTATTTATTTTATTCTATTTTAGTTTTTTTTTTTTTTTTTATTTTTAGGCCCTTTTAAAAAAAAAATTTAAAAGAGTTTTTTTAAATTAAGGGAACCTTTAACCCCCCAAAAAAAAAAAAAAAAAGAAATTTTTTAATCTTTAAAATTTTTATTTTTTTTTTTTTTTTTTAACCCTCCCATCTTTTTTTTTTTTTTTTAAAAAAAAAAAAAAAAAAAGAGGGGTTCCATTTATCTATTTTGTTTTTTTTTAAATAAAAAAAATAATGTGGTCTTATAAAAAAAAAGGTTAAAAATTTGTTAAATCGGCTTTGGGGGGGAAAAAAAAATTAAAAAATTAAAAAATTTAAAAATTTAAAAATTTGGAAAAAAAAAAAAAACAAATATTTTTTTTAAAAAATTAGAAAAAAAAAAAAAAAAAGTATATACACAATATATATTTATAAATATAGTTTATTTAAAAGGATTAATGAATGAATATATCAATTAAAAATTAAAAAAAAATATAAAAAAAAGTTAAAAAAAAATAAAATAAAAAAATAAAAAAAAATAAAATTAAAAAGAAATAAACATAATGGTTAAAATTTAAATCCTTTTGGATGTTTATTTATTTATTTTATAAAAAATAAATAATGAACATCTAAAAAAAAAGAAATATAATTAAATTACTAAATAAATATTATTATTATTTATTATTAAAGTACATTATTATAAATAAATATTATTTCTATTTTTACACTGTGATTATTATTTGATTTGATTTGATTTGATTTTATCTAATTAAAAAAAGAAAAGTGCTACTAAAAGTAATAATGTTGATAAGAATACTTTTGGTGATAATGAAAAACCACTGTTGGTACCAATTGGGTATAAACTTGTTGAGTCACCAAAGAAAGAAGCTTGACCAAAGTAGATGGTAACATTTCTAGTATCTGAAGCAAGTTTAAAGTTGTTGAAGGTCTTTTCGTGAACACTGAGATCGGTCATTTTAATTCTAACAAATGACCATTGAGTAAGATCTACATAGCTGGCTTTTTCGCCATCTGAAAAACTAACATAAATTGTATCGTTTAAATAAACACGGGTTGGAATTGAAACAGTTTCGACAGCAGCATAGATGGTTGGTTTTTTGGTGATTACTGAGCTATCATAAGAGATTTTCATTGAGAATTCTATATATCTATAATCATTTGAGTTGAATGAATTGTTATTTGAGAATGCATAGAAACCATTATCATTAATAACTTGAGTTTCGATACAACTTTCCATTCCAGCATTACAATTATTTGTAACGATATTAACAATAGAGTCACCATAAGTTGAGCTTGAGTATATATCTTCACCATAACCGTTTTCAAAGATCTTGAGACCACTAGTTAATGTTGAAAAAACTACAACTAAAAAAATTATATAATTTAATCTCATTTTTTTTTTATTTATATGATTATTATTATTTTTATTATTGTATTATTATTATTATACACAAATATTTATTTATAAGGAAATAATGATGTGTTGTGTGATTTAAAATGAAAGTTAATGTATAAAAAAAAAAAAAAAAAAAAAAAAAAGTGGGGGTAGTTATGGTTTATATTTAAAAAAAATAAATTAAAAAAAACAAAAAAAAAAAATAAAAAAACTGGTTAAAAATTTATTTTGCATGGATGAAAGTATGAAAATCAGTAAAACCCGTTACTGTTTCGGGATAATTATTTTTTTATTATAATTAAAGTTTTTTTTTTTTATGAAACATAAATGAATACAATAATTATTATAAAATAATAACTTAAAATCTGAAAAAGGAAAGTGGTGTGTTCTTATTTATAGGTTATATAAAATAATCCTTTTTTTTTACAATAAAACAAAAATAAAAATTATTATAATTACTTTAAACAAAAAAATGATTATTTACGAAAATATAATTACACAAATTTTTATTTTATAAATTATTTTATAATATTTTATTTTTTTTGTTTTGGTTTTTAATTTTTAATTTTTTATTTTTTATTTTATTTCATTTGAATTTTGAAATACATAAAACAACAAATAAATATAAATTTTTTTTTTTTTTAGGTGTTTTTCTGAACCAAAAAACCAAGAGGTTTTTTTGTTCACTTAGTTTATCATTATTATTTCTTTAAAAAATTTTAATATTTTTAATTTTATTTTTATTATAAATGTGTTATTAAGCCAACCATTATCGTTTTTTTTTTTATTATTTTAAAAATTTTTTTTTTTTAAACTCGAGTTATTTGTTTTTTTTAATGTATATATACATTATGTGACAGTTAAAATAAATTACACAATAATAGAAATTTCGAAAGAGTTAGTTTTAATATAAATTTAAAAAATATGAAAAAAATATAAATATAATTATAAAAAAAGCTTATATTATTAACTCTTTGTTTCTTTATTTACCAGATAGCTTTTGGTCAATAAAACTTTTTTAGAAAGTAAAAATAATTACTGGTGGAATGATAGTAAATAATCCAAATGAGCTTTTTATAATACCAAAAGTTTTGTTTCAAAATAAAATAGAATATGATTCTCGTAATATAGGAAGAAATATTTTAAACAATAAACAAAATGTGATAAGTTCAATTGATGCAAATTACATATGGACATCCACTTAATAGACTCTTTATAATAAAAAATCTCTCAAATTTTTTTGGATGAGAGAATGTTAATACTGGAGTGCAGAGGTAAAATCAAAAAAGTTTATAGAATGTTCAAAAAAAAAAAAAAAAAAAGGAAATATTTCTAAATTGCCTGATGATTGAATTGCAATTTATCCTCAATTGAACAGTATTTAGGATTCTTATTATAATGGAAAACAAAGGGGTTATCAACAATTAATAAAAGTTTTTAAAATTTAAAATCTCAATGAAATTTTTATTTTTTTTTATTTTTTTTTTTTTTATTGCTCACTTTTTTAAAATAAATAAATTAATAAATAATATTAAAATATTAAAAAATAAAATTAAAAAAAATTTGAAATTGGGGGGAAAAAATTAAATTTTTAATTTTAAAAGTTTAGTTTGAAAATCAAATTTATAAAGTGGTTTATCTCTGAGCAATTTTAACTAGAGCTTTATATCTTTATATTTCTAATTTTAATTTTTATATATTCAAATAAATAAAAAAATATTATTATTTTAACAAACTCTAAATAATCAATTTGTATAAAATAAACACCAAACGAAATATTATTTTTTTAATAGTTAATATCAGTATTAACTAATCAAAGTATAGAAAATATCTAAATCATTATGTATTTTGACGCTAAAAGAAATTTGGTGGTTAGGAACAAAATTCCAAATTTGTCAACAAATTAATTTCACCATTAAAATAACAAACAAAACAAAACAAAATAAAGATAAATAAAAAACAATAATATACACAAAATAAAATAAAATAAAACAAAACAATTATTATTTTATAAAACTATCACAAAAATAATAAATAGTTATTTTGATGATATTTAAAATCAATTTTCTTTGCTTTCCAAAGGGTGTTAACCTTTTTTTTTTTTTCTCTAAAATTTATAAATAAACTTAATTAAACAGTTTCCGAAAAATGTTTTTTTTTTTTTTTTTTTAAATTAACAATCAAAATTAAAAATATATTTTTTTTTTTTCGATTTTTAAAAGAAAAAAAAAAAAAAAAGTTAACACAACGTTGTGTAAGTATGATAATAGGTTTTTTTTTCAAGATTTTTATATAAATATATTTTTATAAATATATTTTTAATTTTTTTTTGAATTTTTTTTTTTAAAAATTTTTTATAATCAACTCTGTTGTTTCATATTATTTGAATTGGATATTTTAACAAAGAAAAAAAAAGAAAAATACACTTTAAAAAAAAAACAAAACGGCAAATTTTGTTTTTTTAATCAGTTTCCTTTTTTTTTCTATTGTTATTCTTCAGAAACTAAAAAAGATCCTGCAAAAATCATCAAAAATTGAAAAAAAAAAAGAAAAAAAAGAAAAAAAAAATATAATTCACAAAGCAGTGATACCCTATAAATTGAGAATTATTAATAGTTTTTTTAATTTTTGAGGTATTGAGATATTTTTTCTGAATTCATAGAAAGTTTTTAAAATATATTTTTTTTTTTATTTTTAAATTTTTTTTTAAAAATTATTTTTAATTTTTTCTAAAAATTAATTTTCAAATATAAATATCATTTTATAAACTTTTTTTTTTTTTTTAAAAAAAATATTTATATACCAATCTATAAATATTAATATTGTATTTATATATATAATAAAATGAGAGTTTTATTAAGTGCCGTTTTATTTTTAGTTGCTTTTGCAAGCTCAGCATACACACAAGATATCCCACAATGCAATTATTTAGGTAAATGCGTCAAAGCTGGTGAAAGATGTGACCAAGAATATTAGTAAGTATTTATTTTGTTAAATAAAAAAAAAAATAATTATCATCAACCTCTAACGATTTTTTTTTTTTCTCAGTTATAACAATACTGTTCCAAGTAGAATTTATGTTACTTGCGAATATGGCTATTTTTGCCCAGAAGTATATGAACCAACTTGTGTTGCTTATTCAGGTTTAGGTGAATCATGTGGTAATAACGAATATCAAGTATGTGACCCAGTATACGATTGTACTTCAATTTCTTCCCAAACAAATTTAAAAACTTGTCAAGTTACAAATTATTTAGGTTTTGGTGAATCATGTGAATTTGACCAACAATGCACTGGTAGTAATACTGAATGTATTAATGGTAAATGTGGTATTTTACCAAGAATCCCATGTTCATCTGATAGGGAATGTGCATACGGTAACTTCTGTAATATTACATCTGAACCAGATCAAGATAATACATGTCTCCCAGTTTTAGCATCAAGTTCAGTTTGCACTCGTGATGCACAATGTCCATATAACCAAATTTGTGTTAAAATGGCTTTCGATTCATCAGATGCCACCTGTCAAAATCAATTCTCAAAAGCTGAAGGTTCATATTGTGATAGATACTCAGCTGTTCCATCTCTTGAGTCATTAACTCGTTACGAATGTGATATTGGTTTAACTTGTGAAAACCCAGGTACTGATGTTGCCAAATGTGTTAAAATTGCAGTTCCAAAAACCAACGATGTTTGCTACAACTACACTCAATGTGGTGAATCTGCTCAATGTCAATGCAGCAGTGATAAAGCTTATGACTCTGCCGGTAAATGTACAGCTCCATCATACAACCAAGTTTCAACATGTAAAACCGCTGTTATTAACCTCCAAAAATGTGCCTTTGATAACAAATGTGCCAGTTATGTTAACTTTGCTCCAGACTCATGTCTCGTCAGAAACTGTCACTCACAATACTGTAGCAATGCTTGTGTCAACGAAAATAACCAACCACAACAATGTGGTAGTGCACCAGTTAATGCAGTCTGTCAACCAGCCAGTTCATCATCAATTGTTCTCCCATCATTCATTGCTTTAATTGCCGTCTTTGTAGCTTTATTAATTTAAAATTTATTAATTTAATCTTTAATAAATAGAATCATAAAAAAATTAAAATTTTTTTAAAAAACAAACAAATTCATAATTTTTTTTTTATTTTATTAATATATGGTGATATTTATAAAAATGTTTTTATTTTATTTTTTTTTTGTATTTTGTTTACTATGGTTCGTTGTAAAACCAATGGTGAAATAAAACAAAAAGTTTAAATATTTATGGTAAAGTTATTTTATTTATTTTTTTTTAATTTTTTCTTATTATTTTATGATAAATATAATAAAAAAATTATAATAAAATCAAGCTTTTAAAAATTAAATAAATAGTAAATAAATAGTAAATATAATAATAATATTTTAAATAATAATAAAAAAATTCAGATACTAAAAATAATATAGATAATTTTGGTAGTTCCTTTAATTTAAAAAATTTTATAATTTATTTATTTATAATTTTTACTCGTCTTTATTTATTATTTAAATTATTTTTTATTTTTTATTATATTTAAATGGTTCGTAATTCGATTTTTAATTGTAATTGAGATTAAATTAAGATAGTATTAAAATTGAAACACATGATCAAAAAAAAAAAAAAAAAAAAAAAAAAAAAAAAAAAAATACACTCACCCCTCATATAAACAATTGCTAATTAATCTATATGGGTGAAAAGTTTTCGCGTTGGAAATTTAAAAATAATAATTTTAAATATTAATTGTGGTGGTTTATACATTTTATTCTAAAATATTAATCATTAATATGAATATCATTTTTAAAAATATTTAATTATTAAGATTAAAATAATAATATGGGGTGCGGAGTATTACTACTAAATACACCCTTACTTTTAATTTAAAAACATATAATTAATTATATGACATTTAAGCTATCAAATAAAATTGAATTAATACGTATTATACTAATAAAAGTTATATAATGGTATTTGTGTGTGGGTGTGTGTATGTATTTTCGGTGAGAACCAAACAATATATTTTATAATATATTAGTAAAGTTAAAATAGGGTTTATTTCATTTTTGTTTATGTTTTGGGAAATTTTTTTTGCGTTATATATAAGGTTAATTTCTTTTAAGTGTGAGAAGTATAGAAAGAGATAATAAAAATCTAATGTCCTCATTAAATTTCGAAACAGCTATAATATAAATTTTAACACACACTCTCACACACCCTCAAACAAATACATTACCATTACCCCTACAACACTACCACATTACCACAGTGCCGCACTACCACATTACCACAAACACTCAACAACTTATACAAATACATAATAATATTTATATATAAATTACTTTTAATATTTTAAAATTAGTAATAATAAGAACAATATTTTTAAAATTTAGTGAACAGGATAATTAATAATAAATAATTTTTAAAGTATCTTTTTTTTAAAAAACCACACCCACACCACTCTCTCATAAAAATTAATATATAAAATTATTTATATAAAAAAACACACACACAAATTCACACACACACATAAACCACTTACTAAACATATATGTACTAAACATTTTAAATTATTTTATTTAATTTTAAAATTAAAATTTAAAATATTTATTTAATTTTTTTGTGGTGTGTTTAAAATTTAAAAACAATTGTTGTTATTTTTTAATTATTCTTTAAAATATATCTTTTATAATACTCACACTTATACACTCAAACTCACATATACACATTTATAGTGTTTTGTTTTTTTTTTTTTTTAAAATTTAAAACAAGCTATAAAAAATTTATCTAAATAAATATAAAATTTAAAGTATACAGAAATAACAATATTTTTAAAAAATAAAAATTTAAAACAAAAAGAAATATCTTTATGTATTAAAGTCATTGTATTTAATTATATATATTTTTATTTTTTGTTCAAGAGTTGTTTTTAATATAGATATTTATATACTTTAATATTATATATAATAATTTTTTTTTTCCAATATTATATATAATATTTAAAATCATTGTTATTTTTTAATAAATTTTTTATTTTTTATCTTTTTTTCCTATTTTTTTTAAAATAATTCAATAACAATGCAAACAATAAGAGAGATTAGAAATAAAATATCTTTTGATAAAAAAAATAAAGATATAGATAGTTATATAAGTGCAAATAATCATTATAGAAATCAAAATAATATAAATCAATATTCAAATATTATAAATATAGAATGGAATAATATTCAAACTATAGAGAAATTAGATTATGGAGATTCAAATTATTATTTATTGGTTACATTTTTCAATGAAAATAAAAATATTATAAATAAAGTTTTATTAAAAACCTCATCAACAATTGCACAAGAGGTTTATGCATCAGTTTTAGAAAATATATTAAAATTACCAATTCCTGCAATGCGATTATTGGATTTTTCAATGGATGAATATTTTGATATGTCAAGAAATCTATTAAACTGTTCAACAAATGATCAAGGTTTAAATGAATTTATAAAATATGAAATATTAGATAAATCTTTTATTTTAGGTAATTAAAAAAAAAAAAAAAAAATATAAATAATTTACTTTTATTAACCGTTTTTTATTTTTTTATTTTTAGTAATGGAATATAGAGAAAACGGGAAAAGGTTTAATGAATTAAATCATAAAGAATATTTTTCAGGGAAAAAAGGTGAAAAAAAGTATAGACAATTAGGAAGAATTATGGCTTTTGAATTATTTTGTAATAGTTTTTTTCGAGCTTCACCATCAAACTGGGATGAAAATACTTTTTTTTCAAATCTTATATTTTACGAATCACCAAGTAAAAATGGATGGTATTTCTCTTTAATAAATTCAAATATTATATGTTTAAGTAATAGTATATTTACAAGTGTTTACAGAGACCACATCAATAAAATTAAATTATTTTTATTTTCAATTTTTCAAAACCCAAATTCAGAATCGACCCAACTAAAATTAATGAAAGACCATTTGAACAAGTATTTAAATATATATTTAACCTCTTCATCCTCAGTTTATATACAAAAAGGAATCGCAAAGGGTATTAAATCAATGGTCAAATCTTTATCACTACCAATTCTAGAAGATACAAAGGAAAAACTTAAAGGAATTGTAAAGATGGATAATAATAATATTTGGAAAAAGGGTATCGATTCAATCTACTGTCCATTTTTATTAGATGTTTTAGATGAAATTGCACTAGAATACTCCACAAATTACAGAGAAAAAACTTATTTTGTGAAGGTTTAATAGTAAAAAAACAACACAAAAAAACATCAACCAAAATAATTTTGACTATTAGAATTAGTTGGAATAATAAAAAAATAAAATATAAATTGTTTCGAAATAAAAAAAAGTTTTTTGATTATTTTATTTATTATAAATTTATTTTCACACACACCCATCAAACACCCACCCCTATTTTTAGTTTTATTATACTTTAGTTATTGGATAATAGACAACAATCATCATCTTTTTTTTTTTTTATAATAATTTTGATAAATTAGATCTTGCCTCTTTTTTTGTTTGATTTTTTTTTTCTTTTTTCTTTTTTTTTTTTTTTTATTTTTATTTTTTTGAATTTTATTTTTTTATTTTTTTTTAATTTTATTTTTTTCTTTATTATAAAATTTTATTATAGAAAAAAAAATCTCACGGTTCCATTTTTTTGTGATTATATGTTTATATAAAAAATTATTTGTTTTTTTTGTGTGTGTTAAAGTTCAAATCTATGCACCCTTTTTTTCGTTTTTAAAATTTTATTTTTTTATTATTTTTATTTTTTTGTAAATGAACAAAATTAATTTTTTTATTTTATCATTTTTGATTATTTATTTTTTACAACCATCAAAATCCGAGAATATACCGTTGGATTGTAAATTTAAATCAAATTTTTACAATGCAGAATTTGATCTTTCTAGTTTAAAGTTAGAGTAAGTTTCTTTATAATATTATACAATGTAGTATATGTGTATAATAACAAAGTCTATTTTTTTATTATTTTTAGTTCAGGCTACGGATATCAAATTAATTCTGGTGTTGATACTGTAAGGATTCATTTAAATAGATAAAATTTAAAAAAAAAAGTAAATTACTTTATATTAATTTATTTAAATTCTAAAAAAAAATATAGTATAACTTTAATTTATGTGGATATACAGAAAAATGTTATTCAAACTATTCTAGACAATCATGTAAAACACTACCATCATTTCAAGTATTAGGTGATTTGGAAAGAGGATCATATACAACTGATGGTATAGTGATTTCACTAAATTATGTATCTGATAGCTATTCAAACACATCATCACCATCATGCCTCTATGAATCGACTTATGAAATATCGTGTATAAGAAATAGTACATTTAATATCTTTATTTCAAATATATCAATAGACCACTGCCATTATAAATTTAAACTTTTATCCCATTTTGCCTGTATTGATGGAGTTTATTATCCCACTGAGCAAGAAACAACCGTCAAAGAGGGTGATTCAATACCAATTTATGCATTTTCGAGCCAAGATTTTAATGGTGCACCAATTACATTTAAAATGGTAAGTTTTAATGGTGAAACAGTTTATGAACGTTCAAATATCAAATATTCAAGTTATATTAAAGGTGTATACACTTATAATTTAGTGATTCCAAAAGGAAACTACTATAATGGTTCAATTTCAACTTCGATCGATGGTTTTACTAAAAGATTTGCTTATATTAATCCTTATTCAGGTAATGATAATTCTACATCTACTACTATTGATTATTCGGTGGTATCGGTGTCTTCATCATTGGATTTAGATACTGGTTATAATAATACATCTACTAATTACAATTCTAATAATTCAGAAATTAATTCAAGTGATGAAGATGAAGGTTGGTCTAATTGGAAAATAGCTTTTGTTGTTGTTAGTGGTGGTATGTATTTGGTTATAAATAAAAGATATACATATTATAATATTAATTTTTTTTTTTACTATTTTAGTTTTGGGTGCAACTTTAATTTTTGGTACAATTCTTTTTGTTCACCAAAGAAATAGAGTAGAAAGAACTATTAGAGATATCAATATAGCTTTAAAAAATTCACAAACACAACCACCATCACCATCACCATCACCAAAAAATCATCCAACTCACCATCCAGAATCAAACCCAAATTATTATAGTGATAATTTCGAGAATTATGGTTCAAGACCAACTCAAGAACAACAGAATCGTGCACCAAGATCACCCCCACCTGCCTATTCGACAATTGTTCCTGAATCTAATGAAAAAATTTCAATTTCATTTACTTCATCTCAAACTATTTATGAAGAGGCCTCATCAAGTAGTAATAATTATAATAATAATAATAATAACGATGATGAATCTGATGATGAATCAGAAGTTAAATCAAAGATGCAAACTCAAAAAGTAGGAGAGGGTTGTAAAACACAATAAATAAATTAATCTTTTGTATAAATACTTTTAAAACGATAAATAAATTTAAAATAGGAAAATAATAGTTTTATAAACTAAAACTTTAAATTCCAAAATTTTCATTTTTTAAAAACTTTTATTTATTATTTTATTAAAAAAGACATACCGAGGAGATAAAGGTTTTTAGAAAGAATATGAATATTTAAATAACCAACAACGGTTATATAAATTTTTTTTTTTTTCACTGCAAAAAAAAACCCCCACTTTTTTTTTTTTAATTTAAAATTTTTTATATTTTTTTTTGTTTAATTTTTTATATTAATATTTTTTTTTATTGGTTAAAAAAGTGGTTTTTGATTATTTTATTTTATTTTTTTATTTTTTATTTTTTTGTTTTATTAATTAAATCTTATAATCAAAATGATATTTTTTATTTTTTTTAATTTTTTATACCAATATTTTAATTATTAAAAGTTTTATTAAAAAGAAAAAAATGATACCAAATCAATGGAAAAATCCATTAAAAAAAAAACTCAATAGTACAGAAAATGATAATGGTAGGCTTTAAATAACATATTTTTTATTTTTATTTTATTCATATTAATAATACCTTTTCTTTTTTATTTTTTTAGAAAACGAAAATGAATATAATATTTTATTATTAGGATTGACCGGCAGCGGGAAATCTTCATTCATCAATGCAGCATCAAATTATTTAAATTTTAATTCTTTAGAAGAGGCAATGTATAAAGGAAATGTAGAAGATATGTTTACAGTTAAACCAACTAAAATCAATATGACAGATTCGAAATTTCAAAATCATTCATTTACATACGGTGGTATAAAGTCATCCAATGAACAACCAGGTCAGCAATTAACTCCAGATAAATTCAATAATGAAAAGGAATGTGAAAGCGATATCAAATGGGGCGAATCAGAAACTAAATCCCCAAAGAAATACAAAGTTAAATACAATGATAGAACATTTTGTTTAATAGATACAAATGGGCTGTGTGATACAAGGGGTCAACTTCAAGATGTAATTAACTTTGAAATGATATTGGCAGAAATATCATCATTAAAATATTTACATGGTATCTGTCTATTCATGAAGCCAAACGATAGTAGATCTACTTTGATGTTCAAGTGGTGTCTAAATGAATTATTAACCAAACTTCATCAAAGTGCAAAACAAAATATTTTCTTTATTTTTCCATTTTCAAGAGGTAGTTTCTATAGAGGATCTGACACAACTATGACTTTAAGATCATATCTTAAGCAACTTAGTAAAGAAATGAATATTGAGATCGACAGTACCGGCAGAGAATTTTATTTTGATAACGATGCTCTTCATTTTTTAGCAGTTTCAAAGAACGGTGGTTTTTTTTACAAAGAAGAAGAGCTCCAATATCACGAATCATGGACAAGATCATCTTTAGCTTTAAAAAGATTGTTTACAAAAATAATAAATACACCGCCACACGATGTAAGAAACACTATCTCGATCAACTATGCCAGGGTAATGATCTTGGAACTAGCTAAACCAATTAGTGTTTGCTTAAAAAATATTAACGATAATTTAAGAGAAATCAATAGTCATAAAAAAACTCTTAGAAAAAGTTTACACCATGCCTCGATTACAAACAATGACCATGCAGACCAAGAACTCAAAGATTATTTATATACTCCAATTATAAAAATTCAGTCCCAAGTTTTAGATCGTCCCAAATCTGTTTGCAAAAATCAATTTTGTATAGAAAAAGAAAACCATCGTATGGCAATCAGCGGCGATGCTAATAATGTTGTAAACTATAGATTTTGCTGTGGTAACTGTTTTGGTGGAATATTCGGCTCATTGTATCTTTGCTTTACTTATGATATTAATGGGAAATGTAAAAGCTGCTATAAGGCCAACGGAACACTCTGCCATCATTCTGACCATGTTATTATTCGCTCAATAGAAACTAGATATCAAGTTAAACAACCCCATATTTTCGATGAACCAACATCAATATTTTCAGTTGGTGAACAAAATAATATTTTAAACCAAGATAAAGAAAATATTAAAAAAAGTGCCAATGAATTAATAAAGAAATTAAAAGAAAGAAAAAGCAAATATGAAAAAGAATTGAAAATTATTACAGATGCCACGGTTTCATTTTCACTATTCCTTTATAAACACAGTTTAATGCAATTTAATCACGAATATGAAAACTATATAGAGTTCACAATTAAGAATGAGACCGATACAGAATCAATTCAAACCCTTACTAGACATTTAGAGAACTATAAACAACAAGTAGAAAAACAACTAAGAGCAATTGAAGACAACTCTTTTGATATTGGAATTAAACCCAAAGTAAAATCAGCCGAGGAAATAATTCAACTAGTAGAATCTATTAAAGGTTTAGAGCTAACTGGTCAAATTATTAAAAACATTCATTTTAATAATCAAATTATTATCGAAAATTCAAACAAAAACCCAAATGATAATAGTTTACATAAATCTTCAATCTTTTCAAATTTAAAAATGTTAAAAACCAAATTAAAATAAACTAAAACTATTGTATAAAAACTATAAAATTTATTTTTATTTATTATTTTTTTTTTTGGATTTGCCGGTTTTGTTGTGATGTAAATCAAAATCTATTAATTGTTTTAAATCTACATAATCTGAAACATCTTCTTTTTGTAAGTCATGACCCAAGAAAAATATTCTGTTACCCTCTGCCCAAACAAATCCAGAAACCGGTGTCATATCATGGAACGAGTCACAAGCATTGCAATATTTGTAGCTAAGACCAAAAAAGATTTTAACTAAAATTGAAAGCAATGGTAATGTAAACATTTTAATAATCCACCAAATGAATGAAAAGAATGCATTGGTCTTTCTATTTTTACTTCCTACAGGGTGTCTAGTTAATAGTGCCTTTCTAGGTTGAATGCTAAAATTATTGTCTTGATTATTAATAATATTTGGTGGGAATTCTGATGATGGGGGGGATGAATTTAATTTTTGTTTTTTACGATTATTTGTTGAATTTTTAATTGAGTTATTATTGTTATTTGGATTCTTTTTACTACTACCTGTTGTGCTATTACTATTTGAACCATTATTTTTAGATTTATCATTCTTATTTGTATTATTGTTTGTAATAGTATTGATTTTATTATTCGAGCTATTATTACTATTGTTACCACTATTACCATTATTATGACTACTGTTTTCAACATTATTTTCTATTGTCTCTTCATCATCACTAATTAATTCTGGAATATCATCAATATTAACATTTGTTTCGCGCAATACCTTTGATATATTTTTGTTTGTTTCGCTAGAATTTTGTTGAGGTTGCTGCTCTTGTTTAGTTTGTTGCTGCTGTTGTTGCTGTTGTTGTAGTTTTTGTTGTTGTTGTAATTGCTGCTGTTGCTGTTCAAGTTTTTTAAGTTTCTTTTGTTTTAATTGATTCTTTCTTTCTCTTTCTTTTTCCAACTCCCTTTCTAATTCTTTTTCTCTTTGTTCACGCTCTTTCTTTTCCAATTCAATTTGATATCGTAACGACTCTTCTCTTCTTTCACGCTCCAGTCTTCTTTTTTCTTTTTCTTTTCTTTCTTTTTCCTCCTTCAATTGTCTTTCTAACTCCAATTGTTTTTGACGCTCGTTCTCTTGTTCCTGTCTTTCTTTTTCTTCTCTTTGTAGCTTTTCAATACGCTCTGCCTCTAATCTTTTTTGTTTTTCTTTTTCCTCTTTTTCCTTTTGTTCCATTTCTAATTTTTCTTTCATTAATGAATCTAATCTTTCTTTTTCTAATTGCTCCTCTTTTTGTCTTTTTTCTAATCTTTCTTTTTCTTCTTTTTCTTCCTTTTCTCTTCTTTTTTCTTCTTTTAAAAGTTGCTTTATTTTTTTACGACTTTGTTTTGTTGTTGGTGAAGTTGTTTGATTATTTTCATTATTACTATTTTCATTATTGCTATGCTCATTATTGTTTTCATTATTATTATTATATTCATTATTTTCATTTTCGGCAACATTGTCAATTGAAGAAGAGCTGGCAGTGACTGTAGAAGATATTGTTTCAATACCCTCTGCTGATGAACTCATATCTTTCTTTAAGTTTGGTGTAATTTTTTTATTTGCCTTTTGAGTTTTAGATGTCTCTGTTGAAACATTACCATTACTATTAGTTATCTGAGGTTTATCTGTTTTAGATTGCTTAACATTAATTGGAACACCCCAAACAGTGGTTGGAACTGGATCAGTTTGCTCTTTTGAAACTGTTGATTTTTTATTTGAATCTGTAGTGGTTTTTTTATCCCCAGCCCATGTAAACAATGGTTTTAATCCATTAACTTTTTGATCATAAAACGAATCTGAACCAGAATTATTAATGCCATTATTTGATGATAAAGTATTTCCAATGGTTTGGGTTTTTGATAATGAATTTGTTGTTGGTTTAGTTGGTTCATTTTCACCAATTTTAGAACTATTATTAGTGTTGTTATTAGATTCTGATTTATTTGCTACTGTTGTCTTGGAATTTGCTATAGTTGTTGTAGTTGTTGGATTTGTACCGACAGGGTTTGTTGAAGTATTATTTGGTGATTCACCCTTTTTACCTTTATATATTTTTGTAGTTAATTCAAATATCTTATTCATAGACATACTAGTTGGGTTGATTTCATATGATTTATCAAAATGATTTAATGCTCTAAAATAGAAAAAAAAAAAAATTTTAATATTTAGTAAAAAAAAAATAATTAAAAAACTATACTTACTTTTCAAATTCATTCTGCTTTAGATAGTAAACCCCCAGTTCATAAAGCTTATTTGCCTCTTCAATATTTTTATTAGTTGGCTGGCTTTGATCTATACTAATTGGTGTTTTCTGGGTATCTAATTTTACATTTGGTGAATATTGTTTCTTTTCATTATTTGTTTCTTTTTGTTTGAAAACATTTGAATTTGAGTTTTTTAAAGTACCATTGCTATTACTGCCAACAGTATTATTACTGACACTATTGCCATTATTATTATTGCTACTGTTATTGTTATTGTTATTATTACTATTACTATTATTTATATTACCAAATGGGAATTGAAGACCATGGTTTGATAATGGTGATGGTGGATTAAATGAATTAAAGCCTAGGAAATTATTTGTTTTATTATTATGATTTAAATTCATACTACTACCAAATAATGAATCTGATGAGAATTGATTGTTATTGCCATTATTGTTGTTGTTATTAATACTATTATTGCTATAAAAATCATAAAGCTGAGTTGTAGAGGAAGTATTTGACCAATTCATAAAACAATTTTTTAGCTCCAATAACCACTTTGATGCAATATTTCTATCATTATTACTATTGAAAAGAGCATGAAGGCATTGTTCCATTGTGAAGCCATAACTTGTAAATGTGAGTACAAACTGACGATTCTCGACAGATAAATTTAAAAACTGTTGTTGCATTAAGAAATCATTGATAGATGTTGGAGATGGCATCCATGGTAATGATCCTGGTGGGCTACCACCAAATCCAAATCCTATATTACTATTATTCTTATTATTATTATTATTATTATTCATATTACTATTATTCATATTATTATTATTATTATTATTCATATTATTATTATTATTATTCATGTTATTGTTATTGTTATTATTATTATTAATGTTATTTAATAGATTTTGTTGAGGTGGATTGAAATTTTCGAAACCATTTAATAAATTGAAACTATTAAAGCCATTATTACCAAACATGCTATTACTATTATTAAAGTTTGAAATATTACTATTAAAAAATGATGGAATATTTTGTGGAAGAGATGGAGTTGTTTGTTGTTGATTTTGCTGATTTTTTTTTGATTTTGTTGGTGTATTTGGACCAGTACTATTGCTATTTGTGGTACTATTGTTATTATTATTATTATTTGGTTTATTAAAAAGAAGATTTGAATTTAATTCTGAAACTGGATGAACAATATTATTAAAGAATGATGATTGACCAAATAAGCTATAGGTGTTTTGAAAACCATTATTGCTATTATTATTGTTAACTTTTCCAATATTAAATTGAGCTGATGGATTACTAAAACGATCACCTTGATAGTCACTTTCATTTTCGTTTTCATTTTCATCATTAAAGTTACTATTAAGAGTACTATTAATACTTTTATTAAAACCATCGCAAATGAAATTTGTATCCTCTTCTAAATATTCACCATTTGAATCTTCTTCATCATCCTCCTCTTCCTCCTCTAGATATTCACCTTCACTTTCTTCTTCCTCTTCCTCTTCCTCTTCCCCGTCATGGTAATCATTTGAATCATATTCATCATTATCCTCATAGTCATTTTCTTCATAATCCTCATCGGTTGTAATGTTTTCATTTGAAGTTATACTATTTGATCTGTTATGTGATTGAATAATGCTCTTTTTCTTTATATATTGATTATTGTTATTGATTTTAATATGATTACCCCTTCCATTGTTGCTAATAACTTTACTATTTATATTTAATTCTAAAACTTCATTGAATGGTTCATCGTACTCATCATCGTAATTACTACTATTGATACTATAGCTACTATTTGGATTGCTATCTAACATCAAACTATTATTACTACTATTTACAAAGATGCTTTGTTTATTGCCAGTGATATTATTATTCATACTATTATTATTAGTACTATTATTATTATCTATAATATCTTTTTTATTATTATTTAAATTTTTAATATCTTCGTTTGTACTTTTTAAATTTACTTTAAATGTTGAAGGTGATAAACTTGGTGACTCTTTTTCGCTACTGTAATCTGAAGCTGATTGATTTGATAACTCTACACTATCGATCTCTTCTGCTATTTCATCTTCAGTTGTTATTTCAAAATCCTCTTTACTTTTTCTATTATTTACTTTTTTATTTTCTTCTTCAGATGAAATTTCTTCAACCATTGGTAATTCGTTATATACTTTTTCTATTATTGTTGTAGTATTGGGGGTGGTTGCTATTGCCGTTATTTCCTCTTTAATCTCTTGTTTTTGTAATTCTATTTGTTCATTACTATTAGAATTTATTAAACTGAATGAATCTTCCAAATCCAATGATACTGAAGAAACAATGACATTAACCAATGAGTTATCTTTGATTTCACTGTTTGCTAAATTATCTTTTTTCTCCATTTTTAATTTTATTTATTTTTGTATATTTAAAACAAAAAAAAGAAAAAAAAAAAAAAAAAAAAAAAAACCTATTATTATTTATAATCTTTATATTATTACTATTTCTTATTTATATTTTTGTTTATTAGTATTATTATTATTATTATTATTCCTTCGATTATAATTGTTTATTTAGGTTGAGTTAAAAAAAACATTTATATTTTATTATTACTATTATTAATAAAGAAAACTATTTGGGTATTGTGATAAACTTTTATATATTTTGAACTATTTATCTCTTTTTATTCTAAACAAAAATAATTGGATATATAATATTTATATAAATATCTTTTAATAGATTTTAGTTCAAAATTAAAAAAAAATAAAAAAAAGAAAATTTTTTTAAAAAATTATTTTTTTTTTTTTTTTTAAATTTTATTTTAAATTTTAATAAAAAACGAAAAAAAAAGATTGACTCAATGTTTGTGTTCAATGGCGATTAAATAAAAAAATTTAAAAGGAAACCTATAACCTTAAAAAAATTCCAACTTTGGATTATTAATAATTTATTTTTACTTATTTATTTTTTTTTTTTTTATAATTTTTATTAAATAATAATAAAATATTAATAATTAAATATAACTTAAATATTTATTTATTGCTGTATTTTATTTATATTTATATATTTATTGATTTTTTTTATATACAATTTTTATTATTTTCATAAATTATATTTTATTTTTTTTTTATTAATTTTATTTTTTTTTTATTTTTTTTTTTCAATTTTTTTAATTTTTTTTTTTTAAAAAAACGACACTTTCGTTTCTTTTTTTTTTTTTTTTTTTCTATTTATTAAATTATTTTTATTTATTTAATCACTTATCGATATAATATTTAAAATGACATTCAGTAGACGTAACCCAAGTGCAAGTTTAGATTCATCAAAAATTGATGATTTATCAAAAACCCTTTTTAATAAAAAAAGAAAATCAACCAAACCAGCTTCATCCACATCAGAAGAAGATAGACCAACTGATGTCGAAGAATCAGAACAAGAAGAAATAACTACTAAAAAAGTAGCAAAACCAGCAAAAGTTTCAGTTAAAAAAGTAGCCAGTAAAAAAGCAGCACCAAAGAAAACTAAAAAAGTAGAAAGTGATAATGAAGACGATATTGTTATGGATACAGACATTATCGAAATTCAAAAACCAAAACCAGTTGATCCAGTTGAAACTATTGTAGTACCAGAAATTACTGAAAATGAAAAAGAAGAAATTAAAAAACAACAAGAAGAGGAAGAACAAGATCAACAACAAGAAGATGAAGATAATAAAATAGTACCAGAAATTAAAAAAGAAGAAAATAATACTGTAAATAATAATAATAATGATGATGATAATACTAAAAAAGTTTCAAATGTTAAAAGAGGTGTTTGTCAAATTCAAGGACCAACCAGAGGTAAACCAGTTTCAGGTAGAGTTTGGAAAACACCATCAACTAAATTTAATTCAGCCATCAAGGTTAATAAAGGTTTACAAACTACTTTTGAACAAAAACAAAAACAAAGAGAAGATTTAAAGAGAATGAAGGAAAAACAAAACGAAATTAGAGAAAAGACCAAACAAGACAAAATCGATATGCACAACTCAATTAGAGAAAATAAAAAAATTAAAGAAGAGAATATTAAAAAATCTGAACAAGTTCAAGTTATTAACAATACTTTAAAATTAAAGAAGCTTTCTAAAAAAGATTGGAAACTTTATAGAAAGAATTAAAATTTTAATCATAAAAATAAATAAAAAAAAAAAAGTAAATAAAAAAAAATAAAAAAAGTTTAAATAATATAGTTTATATCAATATTTGTTTATTGAGGTAGTATTAATATAATATGTCTTTCTCTTTATTTTACAATTATTCTTCTTTATTTTTTTATTTATTTTTTTTTATTTATATTTCTAAAATTCTAAAAAAAAAAATAAAAAAATAAAAAAAAAAAGGATTAATCTATATAAATGGTTCTGGGGAGGTATTGAAAACAATTTGATAAGGAGGGGGTATATTTATTTACAACATTCTTTCTTGGTAGGTTGATTTGGTTTTTGCTCTTGACCAAGCTAAATTTTAATGATTAAAAAAATATTAGTACGAATGGGGGGTGACAGGAAATATTTTAGATTATATTTGTTTTACATACTTGAATACTTTGTGGCTTTTTATTAACTACAGTTAATGCACCAGACTTGATTAAATCTATAACTCTTTTTGCTACACCTTCAAATACTCTTTCGACACTTGAATAGTCTTTGGCACTAGTTTCAAAAAAAATAATATTATGTTCATTTGCAAATTTTTGACCTTCATCCATTGTAACAACCCTTTTATCAGCCACATCACATTTATTTCCAATTAAAGCTACAACAATGTTTGGTGAGGACATTTGGTGAATCTCTTCCATCCAACCACTAAGATGTTGAAATGATTGTCTTTTTGTAATATCATAACATAACAAAGCTATATGTGCGCCTCTATAATAATTATTTGTAATTGATCTAAATGATTCTTGACCAGCCTATAATATGGAAAAAATAAAATAAATATAAATATATAACACATCTTTAAATTTTCCTATAGCAAATAATATATTTACAGTATCCCAAATTTCTAATTTAATTTTATTTTCACCAATGTTTAGACTCCTAGTTTGAAACTCAACACCTATAGTTGTATCCATTTCAACAGAAAATTCTCTTTCACAAAATTGCAATAATAATGATGATTTACCCACAACTAAATAAAAATAATAAAAAAAAAAGTGTTATTAATATTGTTTTTCTGTGTGTGATTATTTGTGTGGTGGGTGGGAGGGTGTGAATAAATATTAAAACTTACATGGTGGACCAGTAACAATACACTTTAAATGATACTCTTCCATTTTTTGAAATGATTTACTATATAATCACTACGGTGATACACAAACTACTTTTTTTACACTGAAATAAGATTAATGTTATTATTAAGTCCAATAAAAAAGAAAAAAAAAAATCAAAAAAAATCAAAATAAAAAAAAATAATAAATTTATTTTTTTATTTACTTTTTTTTTTAAAAAATATTTTATTTTATTTAATTTTATTTTATTTTATTTTGTTTTATTTTATTTTTTTGGAAGAAATTTTAAAAAAAAAAAAAAAAAAAAAAAAAAAAAATTATTAAAAAAAAAAAAAAAAAAAGTGTGATTAACCAGAAAACATTTTAATTAAAAAAAAAAAAAATTTAAAATATAAAATTTTTTATTTGAGTTTACAAGTTTTTTTTTAAGTATAAAATAACACAAATTTTTTTTTGGTTTTGAAAAAATTTTTTTTTTTTATTTTTTTAATTTTTAAAAAAT